ATTTACTTCTTTTTTCGTATTTTTCCAATGAAACATGAACCAATGCACATGTTAGTACTTCGTATGTCCATTCCACGAAGTCGTTCCTTGCAGATTCACCACAGATTATCGATTGGATTTAAATAGGGAAAGTTTCCGGGCCAGTCTATAGTACTTTGATTTGCTCACTGGTAAGGCTTGCCAATGTGTTCGTCCAGCGATATAATTTTTGTAAGCATCCTTGTAGTAACGTTCATCGCAGACAATAGCCGTAGGACAACTAATCGACAGTCGAGACAATAGTGTCTGTGTGTGATAAAAATCCACCAATTCTAACCTTCACGGCTAAGACCCGCCAGATCAAGCCCGTTGTAGAGAACCACCTTCATTCTCTTTGTATTCCATTGGTGAGATTTAAGGTCCACTCGAGTAGCTTCTTCCTGCGAACCGATGGTTTTTGGAAACAACTCCCAAGATCATCCTTCTCCAGTCAATCCAATCTTAACCTGTTCAATTCTCGATTTAATCGGCATCTTCCCCATATATCCCCAAAAGCCGTGCCTCGTAAACTCTTATCGTCTACCTCTTGGGACTTATATATCGTGAAGATTAGTATTTTTTTATTTTTTTAAGCATTACGCCCCGAGCAAGGCGTGAAGCCACTCGGATGCAGGGGGTTGCAGAAGATTTGGAGCGAGAGCAGATAGGAGTGATAGAAGAAAGGATGAGGAGAAGGATAGTGGATAGATCAAGGTAACTGAAGATGTCGATTGACATTACATTTGAATAGTTGGAGATTATAGCTCTCAGGGAAACAGTAATTGGGAAGGATGTTCCACAGGCGAGGTATGAAGCTAATGGAGTAGAAGAGACGGATACATTTAAAAGTTTCTACAGTGTAAGGGTGGGAGCGGGATGCCAGCCTCGTAGGGCGCTTGAATTCATGGAGTCTGGGAATCAGTGAAAGCAGCTCATCGGAGCAATTACCATGAAAGTATTTGTAGAAAAGACAGTGAGAGGCGACGGCGCGTCTGTGAGAGAGTGACTGTAGACGAGACGCCAGATCAGGGCCAATTATATTACATATCCGTTTCTGGATCTTGTCAAGAACTCCGAGGTAAACAGAAGGTGCCCCAGACCATATATGGCAGCAATACTCCATGCAAGAGCGAATGGTTGATTTGTATATTTGAAGTATCGATTCCGGGGAGAAAAATTTCCTGGCGCGGCACAGAGAGCCAACTTTCCTCGCGGTGGACGATGCAATTGACTCAATGTATTCGTTCCGTCTCAGGTCAGCATTCAACGTAGGACCGAGCAGACGCAGAGAGTTGCTCTCAAGAAGTTGACTATCAGACATTTTAATGGGGTGGGGCACGGAAGGATCTCTATGGTGATTAATAGAGAGTAGTTTAGTTTTGAGGCGTTAAAGTTGACCAGCCAATTCTTGCCCCAGTTAACAACCGATATGAGGTCCATTTCAAGACGAGCGACCAGGTTAGTTTTGTCAGCGACACTAGATTTGTTTTTGAGGCAGGAGTAAATTGTAGTGTCGTCCGCGTAGATGCCAACTTGGGAATCTATAGCACCAGGAAGGTCATTGATGAAAATAATGAATAGAGTAGGGCCAAGGATGGAGCCTTGGGGAACACCTGCGTTCGTGGGATAAGAACTAGAGTGTAAATGAAAAGTTTTCTACGTACCAGTCAGTTATGTACCATATGTGACGACTGACAGGACAGATTTCTTTCTATGGTAGACCAGTTGCCATCCAAGGCTAAAGAACCCGGTCTGTCCTGCTATTTACCCATAGCTGGGGGAGAAAACATTTCAGACCCTTCCCAAGGGTATTAGTACGTAAGTGAATGTAATGGATTCGAGTGGAATTCGAACGACAGAAAATTTAATTTACTACTCAACAATACGTTTAGAACAAAATCTAATTGCATCAGTAGGAATATTTGTAGTGAGTCAGTTATGTACCATGGGCAGACGATCATGTATCTTTCGATACATGACTGACGAGGCAGATTTTTTCCCGCAGTAGGTTGTCATTTCTTTCTGCGATTGACCAGTAGCCAACCAAGGTTATAGAACCCGGCCTGTCCTACTATTTACCCATAGCTTGTGGGAGGGGAAAAGGGGGATTTAGACCTTTCCCAAAGGTATTAGCACGTAAGTGAATGTAATGAATTCGACTGGAAAGTCAGTCAGTTAGTTATGTGTCATGCGTGATACATGACTGACGAGGTAGATTTTTTTCCCCGCAGTAAGTTGCCATTTCTTTCTGCTGTTGACCACTTGTCATGTAAGGTTATAGAATCTAGTCTATCCTACCTTTTCACAAGGATATTAGCACTTGAATTCGAGTGGAATTTGAACTCGGCTCTCCGATTCCTCAATCCGAGCCGCTATCCATTACTCCACCGATACCACGAAACATATATGTTATCTAGTATGCTCTTTTGTTTCTGATTAGACCATCCAAATGCTAATTTTGATAATATACTTTCACTAAACTTGAACCTCGCTATGAGTGGCAAGCCCTCACAGACGTCAATCGTTAGTTGAAAGACGTCAAATACACAGTGTAAATACAGGCATCTCATGTTAATTTGTAATTGAAAAGATAAATAATTTTATTGTTTTGCGAGCTGTCTTTGCTAGATGAAAATCTCATGTGTCAGATAAAAAAATGAGCAACATATTTTTTTAAAAGTTCGGTAATGAATATCACATATATGGAGATTTTTTTTCCCCTTCACTTCCTATCAATGTACAGGACTTGAAAACTGGAAAATATTTTTCTTGTCTCAAAATCGAAAATTCATTTTTTTTTCTCTACCTCTTTATAATTTCCTCATCCAACCTTGCCAAATGAAAAAAATATTCTATTTTCACGTGATAAAAAAATGTTCTGATCGATAGAGTTTTGGCAAAAGAAACTCTTTCAGTTTCAGGGTGTGTTTAAGATTGTTGGACGTTGGAGGGAGGTTTCATTTGAGTCTGTTTTCGTGGCATCTAGAGGGGGGAAAAAATAAGGAAACATGGAAAGAATAAACTAAGAAATAAGAAAGAAAAATATGAAGAGAATAAAGGAAAAACGAAAACGTATTTCTATATAGAAGGAGAAACGAATGAAAATGGAGAAAGAGAAACAAAGGTCAAGGGGAGGAGTTTAAAAAAAAGAAGAAGAGAAAGGAAGTAAATTTCAAAGAAACAGAGGACGGAAAGTTATTGAGAAAAAGAAAAAAAAAGAAAGAAAAAATAGGAAGACGAGAAGAAAAACAAGAAAGAATATTTAAAATGGAAGAAAGGGAGAAAAGGCAGAAGAAAAAAAATAAATGTCTTTCTATAAATATTTTGATGTTAATAATTCGAATGATCTCTTCGCTATAGCGATTTTCCAAGCGTAGCTTAGATGTGGCACAAGGCCGAAAGTATGGGGTACCCAGTGAGGATCGAACTCACTAGTCAGTCGTAATTGTTCTAGAGAGACAAGCTTGTTAACCATTACACTGCATCGAGGTGCCCATTGATTTTCCAGGCGTAGCCTAGATGTGGCACAAGGCTGAAAGTATGGGGTACCCAGTGAGGATCGAACTCACTACTCAGTCGTAATTGTTCGAGAGAAACAAGCTTGTTAACCATTACACTGCATCGAGGTGCCCAGTGATTTTCCAAGCGTGACCTAGATGCGACACAAGGCCGAAAATATGGGTACCCAGTGGGGATCGAACTCACTACTCAGTCGTAATGGTTCTAGCGAGATAAGCTTGCTAACAATTACACAGCCTTGAGGTACCCAGATCTCTTCGCTATAGTACCTAGACTTGTTTAATTTAAGTGCAACACTAGAGTGGCGGGGAGATTTCATCAATTTCCAGTTGAGCTAGCTTGATGTAACCGTAAGTTCTACGCTAACAGTTCATTTTTTTCGCGTGTGGAACACCGATCCGGCTCTATACTTTCCAGCAAGCTTTAATCTGAAAAAAATTAACTGCAATGTCAATCGCTATCTATTGTCCTCCCGATTACACTTTCCTCTTCCCGCGCATTACAAATGTTTCTGTTCTTAATTCTTCCACACCCTTTAATCCCTTGTATCTTAGTGGCTTTACTACCTTACTTGTGGAACTCCCTTCCGAATCCATGCTTTTCCAGCAAACTTTAATCTTTCCTCTTCTCACTCATTATTAATGTTTCACTTCCTAATTCTTCCACACTCTGCCATCGCTTGTATCTTAGTGGCTTTACTTCCTTGCTTGTGGAACTTTTTTCCATCTCCATGCTTTTCCAGCAAACTCTAATCTTTCCTATTCCCATTCATTATTAATGTTTCTCTTCCTAATTCTTCAAAACCCTTTAACCTCTTGTGTCTTAGTGGCTTTACTGCCTTGCTTGTAGAACTCCCTTCCTGCTTCATGCTACCCAGCAAACTTTAATCTTTCCTCTTATTAATGTTTCTGTTCCTAATTCTCTGTATCCCTTGCGTCTTAGTGGCTTTGCTTCCTTGCTTTTGGAACTCCCTTCCGGCTCCATTCTTTCCAGCAAACTTTAATCCTCCCCTTCTGGCAAATTCTGAATGTTCCTGTTCATATTTCTTCCATAGCCTGTAAGTCTTTCTGGTAAAAAGATTACAAGAATGAAAGAATGAAAATGAAAGAAAGAGGTAAAAGGAAGATAAGAAAGGGAATGAAAAAGGAAAGAAAGAAAGATTAAAAGAAATATTAAAAGATAAATAAAAGAAATGGGAAGAAGGAAGATTACAATAATGAAAGGAAGAAAGGAAGAAAAAAGAAGATAAAGAAAGAAAGAAGTAGAAGAAAGATTATAAAAAAGAAAGAAAACGGAATGAAAAAGGAAAGAAAGATTAAAAGAAATGAAAAGAAAAGAAAAGGCGGAAGAATGATTAAAAGAAAGAAAGAAAGAAAGAAAGAAAGAGAGAAAGAAAACATAGAAGAAAAATTACAAGAAAGAACGGGGATGGAAAAATAAAATGAAGAAAAAAAAAGTCGATGTTAAAAAGAAAGTCGATGAAAAAAGAAAGAAAGATTAAAAGAAAGAGAAGAACAAAGAAAAAGAAATAAAAATATGAAAGAATGAAAGGAAAAAAGAACAAAAAACGGAAAGAAAGATTTTTTTTTCTTTTTTCCTCCCTAAAGTCTTCTCATTCTTTTAGACAATCACCCTTTGCGTCTTCAAGCAAGAAATAGGATGAAAAAACGTGGATATAAAAGAAAAAAGAAAGAAAGGAAAATAAAGGGAAGAAAAAAGAAAGAAAAATGAGGATGTAAAAAGATTACGAGAAAGAAAGAAAGAAAGAAAGAAAGAAAGAAAGAAAGAAAGAATGGATAAATGAATTAAAAAGAAAGCAAGGTATAGTATGAAAAAAAGCGTACATGAAAGTAAAAAAAATAATATAAAGAAAAGAAAGGCGAAAGAAAGAAAGAAGGAAAGAAAGAAGATAAAATAAAGAAAGAAAGAAAGAAAGAAAGAAAGAAAGAAAGAAAGAAGATAAAAGTAGAATAAAAGAAAGAAAGGGGAAAAAAGGAAAGAAAGAAAACTGAATGAAAAAGGAAAGAAAGAAAAAAGAAAGATAAAAGCAACAAAGAAGGAAAGAAAAATGAAAGAAAGAAAGAGAAAGAAAAGAAAGAAAGAAATAGGTTGATAGAACGTAAATATGAATGGAAAATAGAAAGCAATAATTTTTCAATGAAAAATCGAAAGAAAACGCAAGGAAGAACTCGAGAGAAAGAAATTTTCTGAATAGACGAAAATGAAAGATGGAAAATACGAAAAAGAGAAATAATGAAAAGAATTGGCAAATCGCAAAAGAAAGAAATAATAATTAAGAAAAGAAAGAATGAAAAAACTTATTCCAAAAATAAGAATAAAAGAAACAAAAATCCAGAAAAAGAAACTCATAAGTATCCGTGAAATAATATTTCTGTCGATCTAATTTTTCTCATTTCCAAAGTATTTAACATTTGGAAGGAAAACTTTCGATTTTTGCAGCCGATGTCTACTTTAATAAATTTTATAGCTGAAATCATTTCCTTTCTAAGAGCTCTTACAATAGGGTTACATTTTACACACGACCAAATATCTTTTTTGATTATTTTTAAGCAAATAATCTTGTTTGCGCATTCACTCACTCACAGACACACATATGTATGCGCTCACCAACACACACAGAGACGTACTCACACATCAATATATAAATATATATATATATTTATACGTATTTACCTTTTGTGAGCGTGTGTGCATATATATATATATATATATATATATATATATATGTATACACGCTATATATATATATATATATATATATATATATGTATATTTATATATATATATATATACGCTGAACTAAGTTAAATCCTATGAAATGTTTCTTATCGTAATCCAAGTTCCACGCGATCTTCAGATCTTGAACGGCCATTTTCTCGGTCTAGACAATCAAGGCTTCGAGCACTTTAATTTACTGAGTATGTAAGTTTGTTTTTCAGGACTACTTTTTTGGCTGTTTTTCATTGTTGTCGCTTTTATTCCACGATTGCATCCAGCATGAAACAGCCTGTCGCTTATGAGTGTTGACTTCAATGTTCACTTTTATATTTACATACGCTGTATCTCTGATATTGAGCACTTTATCCTATAACTATAGCATACCTTAAAACTATATTTCTTCATATATATATATATATATATATATATATATATATATATATATATATATATATATATATATATATTTTAAAACAAAAAACCACTTTTAAGATACCATTGTAATAATTTATTTCACCATACGGATCATCAGATAGCACTTCCAAAAGAAGTGCTATCTGATGATCCAACTTTCTTCAAAAGGCTCTGGTGAAAATAAATTATTATAATCATTACATAAAAGTGGTCTATTTCTTTTAAATATTAGCTCTGGATTTACATTGAGCTCTCTGGTTTTTCAACCTCCTTGGGATTACCCATACGGATTACCAAGTTCTTCATAACTTAAATATATATATATATATATATATATATATATATATATATATATATATATTTGGTTGGATAGATGTGAGTTTGTGAGTCCATTGGTTGCCCAGGTGTGTAGTTGTTACCTGGTTCATCACACTTTCAACGGTGAAAAAATTAATTAAAAATTTAAAATATTTTTTCACCCTTGAAACTGTTGTCAGATGAATCAGTTAAAAAAAAAAACACCTTTCTGGGGAAATAAATTATAACCAATGGATTCTTTAAGTTGTTTGTTTTATATTTAAATTGAAAAATTGGACGAGAAAATAGCTATAACTACTATATAACGATAAAAAATTACTATGTTATTCAAACATCGAAAACCGAATTGAGTATATAAGAATATACCAAATAAAAAATAGATAAGAAATAAAAAACAAAAAATAAGCAAATAAATAAGAAAAAAACAAGTACAAATTAATCCAAAATAAATAAATGAAAAAATTTCAAATCGCTTCCGCTAAAATAAGCGTTATAACTTATAAAAATAAGCATAAATAAGTATAATAAGTATAATAAGCGACCTAAGCAAATTCCCCCAATATTTTTATCACGTTAATAAAACATAGAAAACGGAAAAGAACAAATAAATATATAAAATAAAAATGAAAACAAAAAACAAGTGAAATAAATTAACCAAAATAAGCCACTTCCGCTAAAATAACCGCCAGAATGGATTACCACAATCCACCACTGACCCATATATATAAATAGACGATAAAATCCAACACTCGCGGCCTGACGATTGCGTCGAACATGAAACTGCCTGTCACCTCTGAGTGTTGACTTCAATGTTCACATTTATATATATATATATATATATATATATATATATATCATCTGCACTAACGGGGAGGCGCTAACACGTGCTTAGAATAACGGATAGCAAATCGCGCCTACATTCCATCTTTCAGTCGAGTGATACCAGAGAGCAACGTGGTCAGGCGTATGGATGTTCTACTAAGCGATAGTATAATCGAGGAACAATGTGCCATATTGCGCTCTCTGTGGTCAGAGGGTGTCAGACCTGGGGATATTAACGCAGGATGTTAGCACAGTATGTAGCATGCACTATGAATCTAAAAAAAAAGTGCACGATTGGGTAGAACGCTTAAAAGCGGGAAAGAAAAGTGTAACAGACGAAAACCAAACTGGCCAGCCATGAATATCGCATGAAAGAACTGGGTGGTTTCCTTGATCAGACCGAAGATACGTCTTCTCCACAAACTGTAGTGCTTGATAATTTCGGGTACCGTAAAATTTTTGTCTGTTGCGTGCTCAAACAAGCAAATGAGACAGTCGTTGTTTCGTCAGAAACTGAAAAGTTTTGTTTTTTGTTTTTTTCGGGAAAAGGTCAAATTGGCGTCAAAGGAAGAGATCACCGGACAATATCGTCGACTGACAATGAACGGACATCTATATCCTATTTCGTTCGTGTTTTTGCGTGTTTATATATCTAAATATATCCATGCGTTTGTGTATTATAATCTGATTGTGTATGTGTTGTCATTTGTAAGATTACCCATTCACCTGCCATTATCATAACTTCAAATATCTCTAAGTTGTAACGAAGCTTAGAGCAACATTAGATTTTAACGTTCACTCTAACTGAATTTTTGGCCTCTTAATTAAAACAAATAAATAGCAAAACATGTATTTTTCCTCAGTTTCTTTGTTAAATAATTTTATAATATTTTAAACTTAATACACATTAAATTTAAAATTTAAAATTGGTAATTTTTTATTTTTAATTTTATAGTAAAATCTAATATTAATTAGTTAGAATGATTTCTATTTTAGTCTAACCTTAACATTAAAGCATTAATTATTATAACCAAAGTTAGTTGTCAAGTTTTGTGTATTCTCATCTACTTGTATATTTTGATTGGTCATTGCAGCGTTTCCCCTACTTTGAAAATCCTTTATTCCACATTCAACACCATCACTTGATAAGACACCAAAAGTGTTGAAACAAAATGGTTATTTTTGTAGTGATTTTATAACATATTTATGTTATATTTTTCGAATAAATTATATTTGCTCTACGCTGTATTGAGCACTCTTTTAAGAATAGTATTTTTTATTATTGGAACTGTTTCCGTATACACCAATTCTATACTTGGGCACACACACACACACTCATATATATATATATATATATATATATATATATATATATATATATATATATATATATGTCTAATTGAATAAATTACAGACATTATGTCTACTAATTTTTAACAAAATCCGTTCATTTTTCATGCTTTAATGTGCGCATGACCATAACATTATGACCTTGAGAGAAAAAGAATCCATAATGGATAATTTTTTCACGTTCTAATGAACACTCAGCAGATTGTCGGTCATTTTGCATTTAAAAACATAATGAAAAAAATTACGGTAATAGATAACAACGCACAACTTTGTATAAATACTTATATTAATGAACAACATATATTTTTGTACCACTTTCACCCCTGAAGATGATCTTGGAAGAAGATCGAAAGTACTTGCGAAATGAAAATAAAAAAATTTAAACAGTTATAGCACATTTCTCTCATCCTTTAACATCAACACGGAATATACGTAACCTGGCGATAGCGTCTAGCATGAAACAGTCTGTCGCCTCTGAGTGTTGACTTCAATATTCGATAGGGTCCTCTTATAATTACGGACAAGTTTCTTATTAAATGAAGAAAGAAAATTAAAATGTTGATTCATATTCATTTTATTCTGAGTACTTTCGACATTAGCACATCATCAGAGTGTTGTTTTTCTAAGACAAAAAAATTGCTGTGGTCATTTTTCTAGAACAAGAATGTTGTGTTAATGTAAAGATTAAATTTTTATTTGTAAAGTGAAAACCTTAATGTTACGTACTGTACGATTTTTCAATTTTATCATGTAGACGTCAAGGGAAGTAACTAAGTTATTGAAATGTATAAATATAAATGTGTATTGATTAAAGGCTAGATATTTTAAAATATCTACTGTAAATCTTTTAAAACATTTCTGCTGTATTCATAATTAATTTTATTAAGGGTTGGCTTGAATATTTTAACATAGATAACTTCAAAAAATGTTTTGTCAGCATAGTTGCATGATAAACCTCATATGGCCTATGTTTGAGTATAAACAAAAAAGAACAATAACATTTCAGGGTAGTCGTCTACGACAAAGATTTAGCTAAACATCCTAGCATTGTAAAAACTTCCAAAACGAAATTGCTCTTCTTCAATAGTCTTAGAGTAATTTTTTGGCCTTCCATCTCGCTGATGCTAAACACCAGAATATTTATTCATCAAGTCCTTCGAGCTAACGCTGACAGAAATCGAAATAGGATATTAAATCAATAGATAGAACTGCTACCAGGAAATGGTTACTTATATCGTGCCAGACATTTTTTTCTCGCCATAATTCTACCATTTGATCCTGCATTGAATATTGCTGTTACCTCTGATCTTGCTATATATTTAAAGATTCTGGATACAATGCAAAGAAGAAACTGCAGTGTTATCGGCCCTGATCTGGTATCTCGTCTTCACTCACTTTCCAACCAGCGTAACGTAGCTTTTCTGGGGTTTTTTCTATGAATATTTTCATGGTAATGGTTCGGAGGAGCTTCCTGCTTGGGTAGCATGATTTACGAAATTTAATTGACCATGAGGTTACATCATTTTACAGTTCAAATGGCTAAATGCAAACGTATATAAGAATGTCTTGGTTTATCAAGGCTTTTGAATTTCAGAATGTTCATGAATATTCATTAGATGGCTGAAAGTTCATGTCAAAACGTGGAGGATACAAAGAGCGATAAGTCTGGTGAGA